AAAAAATATTTAAAAAATGTGGGGATTTTTTTTTTTTAATGACTAAAGATGAAAAACTAAAAAAACATAAAAAAATTGATATGTTTTTATATTTCTTGTCTTTAGCGAACATTTATTAAATTTAATCATAAATATTTCGATGTTTGGTTTTCAATTTGTCTTTCTAAAAAATTAAAAATGAAAAAATGAAAATAAAATAAAATAGAAAGTCTAAATTAAATATTATGTGATAGTTCAAGAGAGTGAAGTGATATGAGGTGATAGTTTAAGCGGATAGAATGTAATTTATCCAATTGATGTATATTTAGTCATGACAGTCCAAATAAAAATAAAAAAATAAAAATAAAAAAAGAAGAAGAAGAAGAAGAAAAGATGAGGACGGTTAGTTTTTACAATTTTTAATGGGGGAATTACTTTATAGTGAAATAGAAGGAAAAAAAAGAAAGGTGATTCTATTTATACACCACCAAACCTCTTAATCTGATTGGTCTTTGACAAATCCTTCTTCTTCTTCATCTCGAATCATTAATGCTTTGTTTGGTTGGGGGATTTGGGGAGGGATTTGGAAAGAGAAATGGAAAAGGTAGGTGAAATGTGAATAAATCATGCTTATATTTCACATAGTTTCACACACCTTTTCCCTTTCCCTTTCCAAATCCCTCCCTAAATCCCTCAACCAAACACAGCATAAATGAATTCTTTGCTTTTCTATCGCAGAGGGAGAATTGATTCTCTACTCTTCATCTCTTTGAGTAGGTGACAGCAAGGAGGGTAGGCGACTGGAGATAAGAGTGGCGGCCGACGATTTGGGATAAAGAGGTGAAGAAGATATGGATAATTTAGGATTTTTCAAAATTAATGGTGTGCAGTGAGAAAAAATCAAAGTATTAAAAATATGTGTGGTGTGTATTGAAAAAATGATGTGTACAAAGAGGTTGTGCGGTGTGTAAATGGAATTATCCAAAAAAAAATATACACAAACATGAAGGGGTGCAAGTCTGCATCACACATATTTTCACTTATACCACACCACAAAACAATTTGCACTCTCCATGTTTTAGTAAATTTTTTTCCTTATCCCACTGACAATTAATTCCCCCATTTTTAATTGTGGGAGGCGGGGGCATAAAATGATACATAACAATATAGTTGAATGGTGTAAAGTATAATTTAACTGTCTTTCAACGTAATAGCACGTCAACCATCCCCCATTTTAAAAGATTATTTACTTCCAAACACCACTTCAAAAGTGTATACCATATGTACTTTATCATAAATTTAATTGACATAATTTTACTACAAAATTTAGTAATATTAACCATAAAATACATAACCTCACCACAAATTGGCGTAATAAAAATATCGTAATTAAGCCATAAACCCATAAACTTTTATTACATGAACCATAAAATTTTAAACATTTTCTTACGCTCATTTGTGATGAGATTATCCATTTTGTAATTGATATTATGAAATTTTGTAATAAAATTATACTAATTGTAATAGGGTATATATGTACACACCATTAGGTTTTCCAATATTAAATTACGCCAAGATGTTCCAGGAGAGGGGAATGGCTGTCCTCCATATCCTTAAAATAAAATAAAAATATATTGAAAATCAAAGTTGGGCTCCAAACTCACAAGAATAAACTAATCAATAAATCATTTTTCTCATAGGGGGAATTATTTTACAGTAGGACAGAAAAAAATTGTAAAGATATAAAAAGTGTAAATAATTTGGTGATAAGAATAACTAATAAGTCTGACTTATACACTTTTATATTTGTGTAAATTTTTTTTTTTTCAGTCCCATAATTCCTCCATTGTCATACAGATGACCGCTAAAGGCAATCTCTTTATTGCCATTAATTCCCCTCGTCGTCACACGCACAAATAACACGTTACAGCTGTGATTGGATAGTAAAATCGGGTAAAAAAATTAAGGAAAATTTATCCATAAGTCATACTTTCTGAAAAGTTGAACCATTTAGTCTTAAAAGTTTTCTTATGCTTCATTTAGTTTCATTTGTACATCAATCTAATGTTCGAAACATTAATCTGATGTTCAAAATCTAATGTTCGAAACATTAATCTGATGTTTGAAACATTGTAATGGGACCTTTCAGTCTATAAGAAAACTTTTACGACTAAACAGTGTATAAGTTATTAATTTGGGATTTATTGGTGCATTTCCCAAAAATTAAATGAAGAACTAACAATGTGTCATTAAAACTTATTTATCATAAAATAAAAATATATTATAAATATTAATAATTAATATTATAATATTTTTATTAATTTATATATATATTTTTAATCTGACCTAACTGTCAAGTAATTGATCCAAAATTAAAATTAAGGCCCCAATTTGGGGAGTGTAGTTTTTACTTAAAAAGTAAATTAAAATAATCCATTCTCGAATGATGGCCAAAAAAAAGTAAAAATAAAATAAAATATAATTTTTTTATTATATTTATTTAAAATTTTTATTTAAATAGGATAAACACATTTCATAACACATCAAATTATAAAATAGAATTATTCATATGCAAAAAAGTAATTTTATATAATAGTAAAAAGATATAACTAGATAGAAAAATAGCAATGATCCATTTGCACAATTATTTTCTTTCGAATCCTTTCAAACGAGACTTTTACTGGTAAGACATTGGACTCTTATCAATAAAATTGTGTTTGATTGAGAAATTTAAGGAGAAATTTAAAAAAGAAAAAAAAAGTATATGAAATTAAATAAAATATATATATACATTTTAGTTATATTTTACTTGCTTTTTTTTACCTTTCGAAATCTCTCAACTAAACATTTCATTCAAATTAGTGACAAAAATTATGTGAATGAATTATTAATCATAGACAAAATAGATAAACTGAGAAATGATTCCACACATTTGCTCCACCACACAGGTTGCTCCCCGAAGGAATCAATCTCTCTTGTCTCTGTTAATTAAATCAATCTCTCTCTCTCTCTCTCTCTAGTCTTAACCAAACTGGCAACCACCATTTTATACTAAACAGTGTATAAGTTATTAATTTGAGATTTATTGGTGCATCCCCCTAAAATATATATATACATTTTAGTTATATTTTACTTGCTTTTTTTTACTTTTCGAAATCTCTCAACTAAACATTTCATTCAAATTAGTGACAAAAATTATGTGAATGAATTATTAATCATAGACAAAATAGATAAAATGAGAAATGATTCCACACGTTTGCTCCACCACACAGGTTGCTCCCCGAAGGAATCAATCTCTCTTGTCTCTGTTAATTAAATCAATCTCTCTCTCTCTCTCTCTCTAGTCTTAACCAAACTGGCAACCACCATTTTATCAAGATTTTCAACCAGTTCAGTCCAGTCTCCAACCCCAAAGGCACCTCTTCTCCACCTTTCATCCAAACACATTTTTTTGTTGAGGGAGACCGGTGTGAGTTCGATTGAATTGACCTCAGATCGGAATGGAAATGCCTGTTGTATCCTTCATTGTAAACAGACTCGGAGTTTTGTTAACTGAAGAAGCTAAATTCTTACACGGAGTAAGCGGTCAAGTTGAACAAATCCGAGCTGAGTTAAAGCGAATGCAATGCTTCTTACAAGACGCAGATTATGAAATACAATCTGATCATCATGTAGATGCGAGGGTCAACAACTGGGTTGCGGAAATTAGAAAACTTGCTTATGAAACTGAAGATATCATCGAAACTTTTGTCATCGAAGTTTCATCCAAAAGGGGTTTCCAAAACACCCTTAAAAGATTCGCTGGCATCTTCAACAAAGGGCAAGATGTTCACAGGGTGGGATGTGAGATCGGTGCTATTAAAAACAAGATCACTGACCTCACCGCTAGTTTACATACTTACGGCTTGAAAAGTATAGGTGAGCCACTAAAAACAAGATCACTCACCTCACCGCTAGTTTACATACTTACGGCTTGAAAAGTATAGGTGAGCCATTTCAAGTGATGATTTTAAATTTAAGTTTTTATTTATTGATTTATTAGTAATTTCAATTATTGTTATATATTTTTTATTTAAGTATATTTTTCTCTCTTTTGATATGCAAAATATTACTAATTAAAATTTAAAATTTAAATTGTGTTAATATATTCCATTAATCTTTCGTGTGACATAAGCAGTTTTAACCAATTTTAGGAAGGAATAATAATTTATATTTTAATTTTTCAGTTAAATTTAGGAGAAATTAAAAAGACATCTCTATAAGTTTGTGTAAGGTTTTAGGATGGAAAATTTACTTATAAATTTTATTTTGAGGAATGGTGATCTACTTAGTCCCAAGATTTTTTTATAGACCAATTAGTTTCATTGATTTTAGAAAGGTAGATTTAATATATTATTTGAAAATTGAATTTATAGTTGTTATACCTTATTTTTATTTTGTTTTTTTTTTTTTTTTTCTTTTGTGCTAGAAAGGTAAGGTACACATTTATGAGAATTAAATTTGGGATAAATTTTTGTATGAGAATCTTTTTTATTTGGAAAACATTTCAAAAGGAGTACAAAAATGACTTCAAATATAGAATTCTTCAAATATTTCAAAAAGATGTGAGATTCTTCAAACATTTCAAAAAGAGTACAAAAATTTCTTAGTAAGCTTTCAACAAATGTATATTTTCAAACTGTAATATTCCAATATAATACTCAAAAAAATAAAATAAAAAATCTTACTGTATTTTTCTCAAACATTCCAATAACACTTCAAAAAAGTTGTCACACCCCAAATCCGTGCATGACTGGCTGTGGCCCACAGGGACTCAGCCCAAGGCACATGTAAGCCTAAACATGAATCCAAAATCACGAAAAATAAATGTGATGATAGTCCAGAAATAAATAAATCAAAACCCACCAGTGACAAGTCACAAGTATAAATGGCAAAACCAACCATAACCAACTTCCAAAAATATATACTAAATGGAACACAAATCGCCCATAAAATAAAATAATTCTAAATAAAATCTCACCACAATATATGCACAAAATCGACCTGACAAGCTAAAACAAAATAATGAATGTCCTAGAGGTCCATGCAATTAAGTCCCCGCTATGCCATGAGTCCACTCTAAGTCCTTCTAACACCTGGAAGTGATAAACAACTAAGTCAGCTGATAGATCAGTGAGTAGCAACATGGATAGTAAATACAGTTTTGAAAACGGGGTTCAATTCCAAAATAAGATTTATATCACAGAAACTAGATTGGCATACAGTTTGGTAACAATCTATTTCAAAACAAAAGGTTTCACAGTTCAACAGTTAAAATACTCATATCTCTCAAAAATATGATAAATGACATTTTCCACTTAAAACAGATTACAACATGAACACCAATAATTTTTTGGATACCAAGAAATAACATGTAATATGCCACACAGTTCTCAAGGCTATAAGCCCCGTCGAATCCAATATCGAACCAAGAGTCATCATCGGGGTGGCAACCTAGGCCTTTTCTCTAAGACGATCCAATTGAAGGTCACCTAGCCGAACCGTTATTCAAGCACCAAATTAGTTCTTCAATTTTCACCAAAAGCTACTCCTATCTCTTCTTCACGGCTGCTAGTTGAATAATATGAGAGTTTAGGGTTACCCACACACTTTAAATAATTTGACTCCCTTATCCTTTTGCTTTTATTTATTTATTTATTGTATTCACTGAGTATTGGTTTCTACCTTAGAGATGGAGTTATTCAAGCACCAAATTAGTTCTTCAATTTTCACCAAAAGCTACTCCTATCTCTTCTTCACGGCTGCTAGTTGAATAATATGAGAGTTTAGGGTTACCCACACACTTTAAATAATTTGACTCCCTTATCCTTTTGCTTTTATTTATTTATTTATTGTATTCACTGAGTATTGGTTTCTACCTTAGAGATGGAGTTATTCAAGCACCAAATTAGTTCTTCAATTTTCACCAAAAGCTACTCCTATCTCTTCTTCACGGCTGCTAGTTGAATAATATGAGAGTTTAGGGTTACCCACACACTTTAAATAATTTGACTCCCTTATCCTTTTGCTTTTATTTATTTATTTATTGTATTCACTGAGTATTGGTTTCTACCTTAGAGATGGAGTTATTCAAGCACCAAATTAGTTCTTCAATTTTCACCAAAAGCTACTCCTATCTCTTCTTCACGGCTGCTAGTTGAATAATATGAGAGTTTAGGGTTACCCACACACTTTAAATAATTTGACTCCCTTATCCTTTTGCTTTTATTTATTTATTTATTGTATTCACTGAGTATTGGTTTCTACCTTAGAGATGGAGTTATTCAAGCACCAAATTAGTTCTTCAATTTTCACCAAAAGCTACTCCTATCTCTTCTTCACGGCTGCTAGTTGAATAATATGAGAGTTTAGGGTTACCCACACACTTTAAATAATTTGACTCCCTTATCCTTTTGCTTTTATTTATTTATTTATTGTATTCACTGAGTATTGGTTTCTACCTTAGAGATGGAGTTATTCAAGCACCAAATTAGTTCTTCAATTTTCACCAAAAGCTACTCCTATCTCTTCTTCACGGCTGCTAGTTGAATAATATGAGAGTTTAGGGTTACCCACACACTTTAAATAATTTGACTCCCTTATCCTTTTGCTTTTATTTATTTATTTATTGTATTCACTGAGTATTGGTTTCTACCTTAGAGATGGAGTTATTCAAGCACCAAATTAGTTCTTCAATTTTCACCAAAAGCTACTCCTATCTCTTCTTCACGGCTGCTAGTTGAATAATATGAGAGTTTAGGGTTACCCACACACTTTAAATAATTTGACTCCCTTATCCTTTTGCTTTTCTTTATTTATTTATTGTATTCACTGAGTATTGGTTTCTACCTTAGAGATGGAGTTATTCAAGCACCAAATTAGTTCTTCAATTTTCACCAAAAGCTACTCCTATCTCTTCTTCACGGCTGCTAGTTGAATAATATGAGAGTTTAGGGTTACCCACGCACTTTAAATAATTTGACTCCCTTATCCTTTTGCTTTTATTTATTTATTTATTGTATTCACTGAGTATTGGTTTCTACCTTAGAGATGGAGTTATTCAAGCACCAAATTAGTTCTTCAATTTTCACCAAAAGCTACTCCTATCTCTTCTTCACGGCTGCTAATTGAATAATATGAGAGTTTAGGGTTACCCACACACTTTAAATAATTTGACTCCCTTATCCTTTTGCTTTTCTTTATTTATTTATTTTATTATTATTAAAATCTTACCTCTAAATTAGAGATTTTCACCATAAATTTATTTTAGGTATAAAAATTAATTAAAAGACCTTCCAAATATTTAATTTGCACTTTAGGATTCACCACCAAAATATTTGACATTGTAATATTATTATTATTTAATTATTTACTTAATTTTTATATTCGAGTTCTCACAAAAGCTCCTTAGTGTAACACTCTAATTTAACACATAAAAAAACTCCTTAGTGTACCTTTCTCAAACATAACACTCTAATATAATACTCTAAAAAAACTTCTTAATGTAACACTCTAATGTAACAAACACACAAAAAATTTCTTAGTGTAACACTTTAATGTAACATACAAAAAAACTTCTTAGTGTATTTTTTTCAAACGTAACATTTCAATATAACACTCTGAAAAAACTCCTTAGTATAATACTTTAATGTAACACACACAAAAAAAAAAAATCTTTAGTGTAACATTTTTATCAAACGTAACACTCCAAAAAAAATATGTAAGATTCTTCAAACCATTTCAAAAGGATGAAAGATTCTTCAAACTGTTCAAAAAGGAGTACAAAAATTTCTTAGTAAATTTAGGCAAATGTATAATTTCAAACTGTGAGTGTTACGTTTGGAAAAAGTACACTAATGAGTTTTGAATATTTTTGTATGTGTTACGTTGGAGTACGTTACGTTAGAGTGTTACGTTTGGAAAAAATACACTAAAGAATTTTTTTAGTGTTATGTTGTTACGTTTAAGAAAAGTACACCAATGAGTTTTTTAATATGTTATATTGGAGTGTTACGTTAGAGTTTTATGTTTTTGTTCGTAATGTGGGATTTGTTCCAAAATGAGAAAAAATTCAAAACTTCTATAGTGCGGATTGCCCAAATGTATAATTTTACATTTGAAAAAATTTTCTTTTATCTCTGAAAAATTAAACCCAAACATATAACTGAGATTTTTCTATTTTAGTGGGATCTTTGGATTCATAAGGAAAAAGAGAAGACTAAATAGTTCAAAAGATCACGTTTTGAGATTTATTGGTATTTCACCCTTTAAGTATAACAACAATTTGCTTACTAGTTAAAATTCTTGAGATTTGAAATCTTAAAATAATAATGACAACTCTAACATATATAGTCCAAAATGCCCCATGATCTAAAAAATCCTAATTTTTATCAGAACGTCGTTTCTCTTTCGTGTGACCTTTTTACATTGTAGAAGTGATTTCAAAATTTTAAAATTTAATAACTTTTGATTTATATCTCAATTTTTTTGTAAAATTTATATTTTTAGAAATTTCATTAACATAGTCTGACTTGGTTATCGAAATTTCACTAACCAAAATTTTACCAGCCTGTCTCATATCAATAAAATTTCATCAACTTTTTTTTTTTTTTTTAAATTTTGTATTCATCATGGATCTTATTTTACAGATATTGATGAAATGATTTCAAAAACACAAATTTTGTAAATAAAAAAAATATAGATCAAAAGTTGCATAATTTTGAAATTTTTAAATGAGTTAAAAAAGTAATAGGTGATATATGAAACGGTATAGTGGGAGTATTTTTGTCACCGTATGTTTTGGAGGACCTATATGATTATTATAAAAAATTATGTTGTCTTTATTCTTCAAAAAAAATATTACTAGAAATAATAAGCAAAAAATCCTGTAAGTTTATAGAAACATATAAAAATATATTTCACAATTTTGACCTCCACTTTTTTTAATATATATTTTATAAAGGATGTTTTGTTATATGGTGAAAAATGATTCATAAAATAGAGTTTTTATATACAAAATTCATACAAATTATATGACACTATTATTTTTGGACCATAAAATGAGTGTTTTTTTCCTCTTTAAAATGGTCACAAAAGAAAAAAAAAAATCATTTTATGTGAGTTTTTTGTATGAAAATTCTATTTCTACAACATTATTATTGAATATCGACCGTTAGAAAGACTAAACTAATATTGCTATAGGTGAAGGCATAAGAAGTTTGGCAGTTGAGAAGCAACAAGAATTGAGGCAATCGTATCAACATGTTGTTGAAGAGGATTTTGTTGGGTTTGAGGAAGACTTGAACAAGGTTGTGAAACATTTGGTGCAAGTTGATGACTATACTCCTAGTCGAGTTGTCTCTATTTGCGGCATGGGTGGTTTGGGGAAGACCACTCTAGCTAAAAAAGTATATCATCACAAAGATGTCCAGAGTCACTTTGAAGGTTTGGCATGGGTGTGCATATCTCAACAGTATAAAAGAAGAGATATTCTTCAAGAAATCTTCATCAATCTTGTTCCAGAGAGGAAGGAAGATGTTGTTAGGATGACAAATAATGAGTTGTTTGAGCAACTTTATAAAGTCCAGCAGAGTAAAAAATGCTTAGTTGTACTGGATGATATTTGGTCAATAGAGGCTTGGAAGAGCTTGGAACCGGCCTTTCCAAATGGAAACACAGGTAGCAAAATATTGCTAACGACTCGTAATAAAATATTACCTTCACAGATAGATCCATACCCTATCGTCCATGAACCCCAGTGTTTAAATGACAAGGAAAGTTGGTATCTACTTCAAAAAAAATCATTTCTAAGAAGAGATGGTAAAGGTAATATTAATCAGTCCACCTTGCTATATATTTTGATACGAATTAAATTATTTCAATGTTAGTTTTCATATCATCTGTGTGGTCTATTATCATCCAAAAAGATTAATGACCCATGGGTTGAAATTTGGGAAAGATATGGAAAATACTCTAGCTCTACTGGCCATAGGGTCGAACCAAATGTATTTAGAATATTCATTTACGAAAACTACATAAAATTGAAAACTTAGGGATTACTTTACAGTGAGACAGAAAATAAAATTTTACACAAACATGCTTGCTTCTCCATAATTTTACACAAATACTAGATACTTCCAGAGTACTATATTGTCTACATGATCCAGTATCGGCCAATGAGAAACCGCAACACACTAAATAGTCATCATTTGTCTCCTAACTACCCCACAAAGATGACTTAACATGTTTCATTCATAAAATTTTTTGCTATGCAATTAATTTGGAACACCATATAGACAATGACACATAATACTCTAAGACTCGTCACTAATTATTCATTAAAATTTGAATGACTTATGTCATGCACGACGACTTTGTAATACTAGCTCAGAGAATTTAATCTAAAAGAAGGTTACGGGTACATACATCACTCTTTTTACTTTTTTGTATGCCTTTTTATAAAAAGTTAAAAATCAACTAAAATAGCAAATTTCCAAAAGGGGCCACAATTCACTTCTTGCCCTTAACATCACTCTCTCTGCACCAAATGCATGCATGAATTTGAGAAATCCTTTTTCTTCTTCTTTGTTGATATAGAACTTTTGATTGAAAAAATGCATGTATCAATGTAAACAGTGCTGACTTTGAGGCAAAGTTGAGGAAATGGTTGTTTTGGAATTCAAAAATTGGTTGAAAAAAAGGGTTCTAAAAAACTATCCCTTAAATAGAAACAAAAAAAGCTGGTTGATGTAGTAAATTATTTAAAACTAATGGATGATGCAAGTATCAGTGTAAACAGTGCTGACTTTGAGGCAAAGTTAAGGAAACGGCTATTTGGAATTCAAAATTTGGTTGAAAAAAAGGGTTCTAAAAAACTATCCCTTAAATAGAAACAAAAAAGCTTGTTGATGTAGTAAATTATTTAAAACTAATGGATGATTAATTTCTAAATATATAGTTTGTGTATAAAATGTTATATACTATCCCTGTTACAGTTGTTTATGGGGAAATCAACTTATTAAAACTGAAATTGATTAAATCTTACCTTTGGTCAACTTTGTCACATAAATGATTCGATGGATGTGATTGTTAAATTGAATTATGCAAGTTTGATTCGTAATTTCACAACTAATAATTTGAGTTTTATACTTGAGAACACGAAAGTTCAAAATTTTTAAAATAAAATTTAAATTACTAACCGATTTGATTTTGAAAAAAAAAAAAAAAAAGCTTTAAAAATCAATTAACATTACAAGCTTGCTTTAGAATTATCTATCTATATATGTATAAAAGCCCATATTAAAAACTTGATTTGGTTCTCGAAAAAATCGTCAAATTTCCCTTTTTATTGCTTATTCACGCAAGCATTCATTAGAATTTTTATTTTTGTTGTTTTATAGAATCTAGGCAATAATCTATTTTTTTTGTTGTTTTTAAATTTTGCATTTTGTTGTTGTTGTAGACTCCAGAGTGCTTGACACAAACATGGAGGCATTAGGGAGGAAAATGGTAAAGCTATGTGCTGGTTTACCGTTAGCAATCATTGTGCTTGGTGGACTTTTGGCAAGAAAGCATACATTAAGGGAGTGGGAGATGGTATACCAAAATGTTCATTCGCATAAATGGAATGACGACCCAACACAGCATGACAATGGAGTATCAAAGGTGTTAGCTTTAAGCTACCATGACTTGCCTTATCAATTGAAGCCATGTTTTCTATATTTTGGTCACTTTCCGGAGGATTATGGGATAAATGCTGAAAGACTATATCACTTATGGATAGCTGACGGTATAATTGTAGATGATGATAGAGTTGGGGATGAAACAATAATATATGTGGCAAAACGTTACTTGGGTGCACTAGCACAGCGGTGCATGGTTGAAGTACATGTAGACATGTATACTCAAAGGATCAATTATTGCCGCATTCATGACCTTATGCTGGATTTGTGTTTATCAAAGGCAAAAATGAATGATTTTCTCGAGATCATTCATCTCCAACGCGAAACTGATCTAGCTGATTGCTTTTCCACCACATCAACAACCACTACTCCTAAAATACGCAAACTTGCAATTCATTTGAGTAGGGATGTCGAAAGAGTTGTCTTCCCTGACTTGGAGACAACTAAACAGCTAAGATCAATATTGTTGTACGATCCAAGAATTCACTTGTGGCCTTTATCAAGTGATGAAAAGTCTTCAATAGAGTTGAACTCCCATGTCAAGTACTTCAAATTGCTTAGGAATTTGGATCTTGAAGGATTTAAGTTTGATGAAAAGTCAGTCGAATCAGTAGGTAACCTAATTAGCTTGAGGTACTTGAGTTTTAGAAGTTGTTTCATACCTAAGTGGCATTCGTCTATCTGCAAGTTGAAATACTTGCAAACCTTGGATTTACAACATTGCGAGTTCAACCCAGGTGAAGTAATAGTCTTACATGGAATGGAACAATTGAGGCATTTGTATATTCCTCGCAATGCTAAATTCAAATTTGATGGGTTAAGCAACCTCGAAACATTAGGAGGGTTTGACACAAGATCTTGTGACGTCAATGATCTGTGTAAATTGATCAATCTTCGGCAACTAGAAGATGCAACTTTCTCGGAGGAGGACAATCAGGACTTAGCGGCTTTCATCAACTACCTAAACATCAGTGCAAACCACCTTCAACATACATCCTTATCAGTTGAATTTTACAAAAAAGAAGAAGAGTTGACTCTTCTCAAAAAACAACTGTTAGGGTGTCACCATATTTACAAATTGAGTATTAGTGGAATTATTCCCAAGTTACCAGAGTACTGCCAGGGTTTCTCTCCCAGCCTCATCGAGTTAATTTTGTTTGGATGTGAACTTGAAGAAGACCCTATGCCAACATTGGAGAGGCTACCTAACCTACAATATCTCTATTTAGGTAGTGGTGCCTTTATGGGGGACAAAATGGTTTGCTCAGCTAATGGTTTCCCCCAACTCAAAACCCTATCTCTCTATCAGTTGATGCTCTTAAAAGAGTGGGAGGTGGAAAAAGGAGCGATGCCCAATCTCTCTAATTTAAAAATTGCTTATTGCGAAGGACTTGAAATGGTTCCAGAGGGACTGAGATTCATTGCTACCCTCCAACGATTTACAATTAGAGGAGCGGACGATAAATTCAATAACAAGCTTCGAAGGGTCAATGGTAAAGAAGGAGAAGATTTTTACAAAGTGCGACATGTGTCTTCCCTCAACATTATTGGGTAAATTTCTTAATTCTGGATAATCCTTTCACAAGAGACGAAACAACTGTTGGGTCTCTTATCATTTCTTTCACATCCCCCTCATTAATTCTCATCACAAAATTTGTTGATATATACATATATTTCTCTGCTTTTTTGCCTTTATATTGGTTTAGGGGTGGACAAATTACCATAGAATTAAAAAATTAAACCAAACCGACATCTTATTGGGTTGGTTTGTTTGTTTGTTTGTTTGTTTGTTTTTTTTTTGAATACATTGGTTTAGTTTTGGTTCTTCAATTTGTCAATTTGATAGGATTGGATTGATTTTTTAATTACCCTTTATCTAAATCGAACAAACTTGATAACCATATATTTATATATTATAAGATTTAATTTATATAGGCATGTTTTTGCCTAATTGGTTTATTCTAATGGACTTGATTGCAACTAATCATTTCTCTCTATTTATTTTGATTTTCAGTCAATATGAAGAAAGAGAACGGGAAAGGAAAAAAATTTTCTGTCTATATGAAGAAGAAGAAGAATGGGAAGTGAAAGAAGAAGATTGGTAAGTGGAAGAAGAAAACAGTGGAAGTTAGAATTGGAATTCATGGTACTTAATTTTATTTAATTAGTTGTGGTACTAGATTTGATTTGCATAGGTTGTATTTAGTCTTTGTTTGGGATTGGCTTTTGTAGCTGGCTTTTTTTGTGTTGAAACTTTTTTAGTCTCGTTTGGTTTGACTTTTTTGATTTTTGTGAGAGAAAAAGTGTAATAATTATGGTTTAGATGTGATATTTTGTCTTATTGGCTTATGCAATCAATTTTGTTTTTTTGTTCTTTTTTAGTCAAAAATCTAAAACCAAACCAAACTTTAAGCTTGGAGTTAGATTTCACTATAGTGTTCACAACTGTTGACTTGTATTAAACAATATTTATTTTATGTTTGCGTTATATTTAAGTATTAAAGACTTGTTTATTTTAATTATTTATTATTAATTAATTCATTTTTTTGAATTGAATTGATTTGGTTCAAATGCATGATTCATTTAAATTGGTTCTAAATTTAATGTCAACTCAAACCAAAATGACCCAATCACACCCCTATATTGGTTCATATCCATTGGGATTTTTTTAGTACATGCCAGAGCAATAAAAGTTGAGATTTGTTATAATAGACCCCTTTTAATAAGATTTTTTATAAGAAAACAAACGAGCCCATAAGTTTTATTGTGAGGAGGACAACATGTGCAGAAAACACAACCCGATTACTGAATAGCTAATTTTATTTTTTTAACTTTTAAATACTAACTTTTAATTTAAATTTTTATTTTTTTAAAGTATTTTTTGGAATATTCTCGTTGAAATCTATTTAGTAAGAGTTCGTATTGAATATGCAATATTGAAGAAAATGTTGTTTATTTTCAAACAATGAAATTTTTATTATTTATAAATTATCTTTTATAAATAGAGAAATTTCAAATTAAAAGCTAAAAATCCAGAATTAAATGCTACAAAATGAAAAACCATATTTCATTGTTTGTAAATTAGAAAAAAAAGTTCACTATCTAGTGACATCAAATAGAAAATTTTAAACTAGAGGCAAAATTAGCATTGGTTGTTAAAAAGATTGCGATAAAAAGACGCCTCACGCTCACTATCAAGGAGAAACTTTTGTTATGTATGGTGTTCTTTTCTTTTTTTTTTTTGTTTCCTCCTATGCTCATAATTATTTGTTTTTTACAAGCAATAAATATAAATGATGGACTAAAAAATTTATATATACTAGCAATCTGCGCATGCAATGTGTGTGCAACTCGGGAAAAAAAAAATATTATAAGAATAATGATAAAAAAATGCACATGCATTACTCAAGTGGTAAGAGCATTTATTATTAAATCCATGGTCATGAATTTGAGACTTGTCCTCCTCTTTACTTAATTTTCATAAAAACTCCAAATATAGGGGTATTTTGAAAAAAAAAAAAAAAAAAAAAAAAAAATCAAAATATGAGACAAAAAAGTGTCAACACTGTTAACAGCCTTTCTTTTATATATTAGAATAGATAGATATTGGATAGCCATGAAGAATAGGACTTGATAAAAATCCGATATGCACGTTATTATGTACGTACATATATGTGTATATAGAGAGTATCATAAAAGAACTGAACGAAATTTTTTATATATTTTTTTTAAATTGCCAATCAGTGCACATGCAATGCATGTGTCATATGACCCTTCTAACAGATAAATCAACATTCAATTGAACTTGGTAAATCAAAATTACAAATGTAAAAACAATTTGTTATGTGTGGCCATTTTGGTTATGTGGTCCTTGTTTCAAATCATGAAAGCAACATATTTATTTTGTTAAGCTGCGTTTGAATCATGAACTTGCGTTAGTATTTAGAAAAGACAAAATGAAATACTAGATAAAATATACATAAAATATAACTACATTTTACTTACTTTCACCCACCTTTTCTCTTTCTCTTTTCAATTCTATGATTCAAACACAACTTTAATATTTTAACAAGACTCAATGGAGACACCTATGGCATGCCCTTCCTACTTAGAAACCTTTGGGGGCTAGGTATCATCTTTCCAAATCTCAGGGAGGAACATGAAATTAACGTCAAGACTCCGTTAAATTTGAACAATATATTAATCTAAACTTGTTGAAAATTTTCCTTAATGGGAATTAACCTTCTAAAATTTTACATATCTCAATCTTCATGAGAAAATTTTCACTAAAATTTTACAACTTAGTGATACAATCACATAAGTGCTTCTTTTTCCAGATAAGAAACGTAAAGCAACTCCTGAGGGTAACACAATTGTAAGTAAATCGAAAATTATCCCAAAAGTTATGATTCAGTCACACATTGAGACTAAAACGGACAAACTATCAATTCAAACAGGTTCCCAAAATTCATGGTATAATTTCTAAATGATCAATGTATATATGTTGGGCAGCCATCTGCTAGTTACTTATAACACCCCGTGAGCAAATCAGTATAATCACAATGGAGATGAAACTTTGATCTTTACTTCGAAAACCCCATGTGCTTAATTTACCTAATGTCAAACCTCGATTCCTTTGAACACCATCTATTACTTGGAGTCAGAATCTGATAGTGGCATCTGGTAAGCTTCTTTTGGTTCTGTGTCAGTGATGGAAGGAGGACGATCTTGGTTTGACACCGCTCTCTTCTTGTGTCTCTTCTTGTGTCTCTGATTTGGTCTATCTTGTGTCTCTGATTTGGTCTATCTTCATCATCCTGGAAATTTTCATATGGTGATTGAGCAAACATACAGAAAGCAGAGGAAAATAAAAATGTATAAAACAAATACTGTTTAACATACAAAATGCTTATGCGAGTCCCACTGCAGTGAATTGGGCAGTTATGTATGCATACCAAAATTAAGATCACTGATGTTTATGTTTATTAGTTGTAACTATGTGTTAAAATAGGAATTAATATTGGAGATTGATGTCAACTATAAATTGCCTTTACTAAGTATAAATAAAAAGTCGAGAATAAATTTGAGTAGTTTTTCTTTCATTTATATGAGATATATACGTTTGAGAGGTTCTAACTCAGTTGGGTGTGAGTTTCTCCCTCAATGGAAGCGAGTTTCTTACAGGTTTTTTCCTTGGAGCAGAGAATTGCATTTCTGAGTAAGAAACGTCAACCAAGAAGGAATTTTTTGCTACTAAGAGTGAAAAACTCAATAACCTAAGCTAAAAATGCCGATTTTACCTTTGATGAGGGCAAGCTTCCGTCTCTACAATGAAAGTTTTTGACGAAAAGTATTTACATCATATTTAATTTTTAATATTTTTTTACTATTTTAATATAAAATTCAAAATTCTAATGCCTCAACTCAATGCCTTGAGGGTTACGTCTCTCCTCACAAGGGAAAAAATGCCTCACGCTACGCATTTGCCTTTAAAAACTTTGGTAATTAGTAGTAAGAGGAGCCAAAAGGAGAAATGTTGGCAGTAGTTGTTGGAATTTATGGTTTTATAGGCTTAGTTTGGGCCAATTTTGAGCCCAAATTTGAGTGGGGCCTATACGTCTTTTGGGGTGGGTCCAAAGAGGTGACGTGTTCCTTGCCGCATGGCAAGTCACACGGTGAAGACGGTTCGTGAAAACCATTTATGAGTAAATGGAAAGTTGACGGCATTTTTGGGTTCGTGGAATGGACAATTAAAGAGTCAACAGTGGGTTTCCTTGAAATGTTAGTCCCACATTGAAACTTTAAGTGAGCTTATGTGGGTATATAAGTTCTAGGTAGACAAATTTGGATTGGGCCCCAAGGGGGCCCCTCAAGTTTGTAGAAGGGAGGAGTTATGGACAAAGTAGGCTTTGGCCCAAACCACTACACACGCGCGTGTGCCGTGCCACGGCAAGGGTATGGGTCTGGTTGGTCCTATTAATTTTTTGGACAAAAATTCTTGCGGGAAAATTATTTTTTCTGAATAAAATTAATTCAAATTTTGCGCCATATTTTGAATTCAATTTTCTGTCCAAAACAGTGCCTCCTCCAGTCCAGCAGGTTCAAACAGTCCGGTCCAATTTCCAGCAGTCCAGCAGACAGATTCAAACAGTTCGCACCTGTTCTGGTTTTTATCAGACCTGTTCGGTTCAAATTGTATCTGTTCAGGTTGATTGCACCTGTTCAATTCAAAATCATATCTGTCCGAATAGGCACCACTTGCCTATGAATATTGGATCATTCCAGCAGTGTTCTTCATCCAGAAAAATCTGTCCCCTTCCCCTTTTTGGTCTCTCTTTGCATTATTCTTCATACTAGTTTTAGAGAAATTTTTGGGAGTATAGAACGCAAGTTCAAGTTCTAGTTCACCATTTGAGATAGAAGTCATTTGTCTTAAGGACAGAGTGTCACACACTCGACTTAATCAATTTTTGTACTTATACATTTCGGTATATAAATTCTGTAAGTAATTTATTTTTGTTTGTTTGATTTGTTCAAGTTATTTTGTTTTACACAGAAGATTCTTCCAACAGTAGTTTCCAAAATTATTCAGAGTTTGAGGTTGGGAACTATATAACACATAACATCAGCAGCCTCCAGGTAGTTCAACACAAAGTGAAACACAATTTCATTTTCCAAAGGAGCCATTGAATCAATATGTCCTTGAAAAATGGTAGGGGATAATTGCTAAGAAAATTATTAGAGAATATCAATGAAGGAACACAATCATATAGGAATGATTGGTGGTGAGGTAAACAAGTTCAACTAGCAAGCAATAGATTCCCAACAAAGGAACAATCATACAAGAATGAATTTGTGGTAAGGGAGACAGAAAAATCCTTCTTTAGTTTTTTTTTTGTGTCTTTTTTAGTGTCTGTGAGTTTGGGGTGGGGTGTTGCTTTTTCAATGAGAATGACAAGTCTAGAAATTGCAAAGCTGGAAAATGTGAATTGTTCAATGAGAATGACAAGTCCTCAAAGCTATCACTTAGTACAATAATCTGTTAAGGGCAGAAATAAAATGACATTGAATAGGCAATAACATGGCTGTCAAGAAAATAAATTTAAAAAAAAACAAAACAAAAACAAAAAAGGCTGCTACCCACAAGGTATATGTGACTGCATTTGAACTAAATGAAGGGAAACTTTGAAGAATCCGTTGCGAATGGGATTTATACCACATCCACCAATGTGAATGGAAGTACACAATGCAAACACCAAATAGAAAAACAATTAGGCACAGATTTTTGTGGTTCGGCACCAATGGCCAACATCCATGGAAGAGAGATTCCACTATGAATAAAAAATAGATAATACATGTGAGACGGTCAACACACTCAAAACCCATATCACTACTAGAACCCCATGGTCAAGAGTAGTTGAGCCCTTGATCACTCCAGTGCCGTCACGGTATTTTTTGTCATCCTTTGCATCTCTATTTTTTTTTTGGGTGAATACATCTCTATTTTATCGTCCTCTTAATCTCGCTAAAACATATAGTCTCCATGACTATTTATAATAGTCTATCCACAAAAAAACTAGTTCCATAAAATTAAGTAACCAAAACCTACACATTGGGTTCCCCAATAGATTCTGGACTCTACTATCCTAAACCAAATACATGTTTAAACTAACCTAACAAATGTATGGGATCCACATTTATAACATGGGTGGACTTATCCTAACAGAATATTAATAGAAGTTACTAAATTAATCAAGCAAAATATTATGCAGCCAAGACATCACATATATAAAAAATAATTAGAAGGAAAATAATGATGCTGAAAAGTAGAAAAAGGGAAATAAAAGAAAGGACTAATCACGAGTCAGAAGAATATCAATGAAATCACATTGGAATGGAGATGAAGATAACGGCTGGGGAAAAAAAAAAAAAAACAATAACAATGCTCCCAGGAGCACAATATGCCATGACTTACTTTTTTGCTCAGTTGAGTTTGATTATTTGATTGACTTGGGTGAGTTGATTGGCTCCTTCGCTGCCAGATGCTACCAAAAGACATCAATGCTTCCAAGAGGAAGACTGGACCAATCCTTAGATCTCCTAGGTGATTGTGAATTCCATTCATGGTGCTACCAATTCTTTGTTTCATTACTGTCCCTTTGGAAAGAATGGTCTGGCACCTACTTACCAAATAGGATCTGCATCTTCAAGAACAACTGTAGGAGTTTTTGTTCTCTATGATGAGATAAACAAAAAAGGTATGAGCAGACATCTTGTATGAAAGAGATGCAACTCTAAGCTCCAGAGTGTATTTTTCCTTAAAAAAAACTACAAAGTTCAATGAGTATCAATCTAAGAAGCACGGACACTTCTAAGAACGTAACGTGCCGTGTCCGACACTCACCGAACACCTAAGTAGCACAGGTGTGGGTACTGGTATGCTGACACGGCAAAACCTTTAAAAAAAAAAAAAAATACGGGTACGGCTGGAGTACGTCAACAAATTTTTTATTTTTCATAATTTATAGTTTGAGATTCAACCTACAAATCATAGTTTAATACCAAAACTAAAAGGCGAAATTACAAAACCAAAAGAGAAATCACAATTCAACAATACCAATATCAAAGAAAAGTCTATAAGCTATTTTAATGCCATTAAATATGAGAAATTACAAAACAAAGTTTCATTCCAAAAGTAAACTAAGAAAAATATGGAAACTTGAAACATCAATTTACACTTTCATCAACTTCATCATTGAATACTATATCTTTCATCTTTAACACATCAAGTAAAAGATTTGCAATTTCAAGTAAATCATAACTCTCTAATAAATTAAATGTATCACCACCAATGTCCCATAGCTTGGTGTACCCCCGATGTACCCATTATGTACCTACGAACCCGGTAAGTATTTCAAGTACCCGATACGCATGCAACCCTAACGGTACGCATACTAGTACCCTGTAAGTACCTGGTATGAGTATGGCATGCTTTATAGCCGGACACTTTCCAACACTTAAGACACTCATGAAACATATTATGAGTTTGAGTAAATAACTTGGAATATAATGATACAACAAAAATTAAGTAAATTTACACCTATTCTCCTTCTTTGTACTTCAAAAATGAATATATTTTACTTAAATATTCATATATATGACATAATAATTATTTATCATTATATATGACATATGTTTGATAAATAAATAAATTATATATTTTGCAGAAGTCCTGAACGTGTTGTGTCCTACATTTTTTGAAAATTTACATGTCGGTGCATAAACGTCGTGTCACGATTCGTGCTTCTTAGGTATCAATAATGGAGTGAAGGTAATTAAACCCCTTAGCAAAACATACAAATTCATCCATTCAAGCACCAAAAGGAAGCTTAATTCTTAAAAAAGTTTGTCTATGTTAACTTACAAAAAAGGGGAGCTCCCTAGAGTCACCATCTTCGATTATTTGAGAGATCCACTTGATGACTTGCCAGCCAAATAAAATAGAAACAACTCAACGTGAAAAGGTGCACTAAACCATAAAGAATGTTGCATTTACGTTAACTGCTCAATACAAAGTGAAATATATCTCAATAATTAAAACATGTAGTAAAATCCATCTCACAACAAATCAAAGGCCAAACCTCTAAACTTTCTTCAGAACCATTGTACCTCACAACAAGTTGTGATGCAGGATCCACATCGTCATTCAGAAATGCCTCCAACATATTTTTTGGCTTTTTTTCCCTCAATTTTAATACTATCTTTGGTAGCATTCCTTTTGTAACGTACAGTAATTAACTGTGGTACATCTGTTATATCCCTCCTAGGCCCACATGTTTCATAGCTATTCTCCGTTTGAGTGTGGAAAAACAATATTGCTGGAGAAGAGAAATTGAGTGACTAATACAATTGCAAAAGATCATTTGTTAAATGTTCCAGCATAGAATAGTCCATCATGATCATTATTAATTTAAATATTATAATCCATAATTAGTAAGCACACATACTTCTACATAAAAAATAAAAAATAAAAAACCTACAAATGGTTCTAGAAATAACAGTGGAGAGATAGAAAGATCATTCCTTCAACTGAATAAAGCAGAAGCAAACAACCTCTAATCATATGTACAATGCTGCTGCAATGAGATCTTACACAATTACTATTGGAGTTTATGAATAATTTTCACTTTGCAATATAATACTACATGCCTCACATACGCTACCTGGTGAACGTAGTTTAATTTTTATTATATAACAGCTTCTGTGAGAGGAATCACATTCTGTTTCCTACACTAAATAGCTTGACCTATAGAATAGCATTATTTGTATAGCTGGAGAGGAATCACATTCTTTGTACATATGGCTTGATCACAGAAATTCATTCTATGTACTTTCTACACTTCTTTGTATTTTAGTCTTTGAGATGAATCACATTTTCCTGTACATATAGCTCGATCCACGGAACAGAGTCAACCAACAAGAGTACAAAATTTTTTGTGAAAGATAACCTCCAAAGTTTTTAAAATGACCAAGAATCATAATGAAAAACTTTCACCTTCTTTGGTTTAGTTTATGAATTGCTTTTGAGTTTTTTTGTTTTTCAATTTTTTTTGGGCGGAGGGGTGCTCTCTGGTGATCTTTTTTCATATTCTAGTATTTTTTTTTTTAAACTTTTTAGATGCGTCTAATCTAGATGCACTTAAAAGATAAAATATTTGTAAAAAAATCTGAAATTGTCTTCAATCAACTTTTTTCAGATTTTTTTATAAATATTTTAAATTTTAAGTGCATCTAAATTAGGCAGATCTAAAAAAATTAAAAAATTAAAAACTAAAATATGAAGAAAAAAAATTCACTAAAGACAATAAAACAAAACAAAAAACTCAAAAACAATATTGAGTTCCAAAAGTTGGTTTGAACTCAAATAGGATAACAATGAATGATGAATACTTTTAATTGGCCATGCCTCACATGGAGAACATAATCTAATACACCAAACAATTGAGGTGTACATGCTTTGCACTAGAGAGGCCATGGCTAAATATGTATCTACCAAAGCTTATAAATGTGAATGCATAAGTTTTTAAAATGACCAAGAATCAACACACAAGCACTTCAAATTTCAAATTTTATCTTTAGTGAGAAGAAGTTATTTAAAATTAAATATGAATGTATAAATACTTTTCTGTTCAAGGTGTTGTTGAACATTTCATTACATAATAGGAAACTTGCCCTCATCGAGATGAACTTGACATTCTTAGTTTCAATTATTGAACTTCTTACTTGAGTCTTAACCTTATATTTTTTTTCTTGGTTTTTTCCCGGGAATATGATTGCTACAAAAGAGATTCTTATTTTTTATGTTTAAATTTAAACTAGGTATTAGATCATCAAAAAAAAAAAAAAAAACTAGGTATTATAATAAGCTCAATAACAACCCAAGACAAGCTCCCCATATACGTACTGTTACATAGACTCAGGTACAAGTATCGGGTGCGGTTGTGTATCCAAGTGTCAGACCTTCATAAATTTAAATCTTGGGATACATATCCAAAATTGGACATGGGTACGAGAACACGTCATGTGCACATATATATTGCATATTATATGATACTCTCGGATGAGATGTTGTAAATTGTGTAGAAATATAGTAGAAATTAAATAGGATACAGAAAATATATGAAATTTCTATATCTAATTCATGTGAGAGGCTAAAAATATTGCCTTACTAACAAATGTCAGTTTTTTCTTCATGTATTCTCACAAATTAAAGGATTTGAGTGTTTAAATTGTGTACGAGTGTCGGACAAATATCCCACACCCTTACCCATACCATATCCAGTGGCCACGGGTACTATGGGAGAAATAGAACAATCCATGTAACACAACTCCTCTTATTTATGTGCAAAACAAGTACAAGGTGCACATGAGTTACACGCCGCAAACTGTGATGCGCAAGTCTTGTGAGAGTTTCGCCCAAAAATTATAAAAAAAAAAAAACCTCAATGCATTTTACCTTAGCCTCGCCTCGAAATGAGCCTCAATACATCTTTTAAATACACAATATATCTATATAAACATGACATATTGTAGGATTTGTGGCTCGAATCATGCATTAACTTTCTAAGATTAATAATGCATATTTTGAAAGATTATTAAAAAGTAATTGAATTTTTTAAAAAAAAATTTTAAAGAAAAAGAAAAAGAAAAAGAAAAAGAAGTGTCATAAAAATGAGAATTACATCTTAAAATTCCAAATCAGTGACAGGCCTCTCTAATCTTCTCAAAAAACCATATTCATATCTCAAAAGGTTTATGAATGCAATGGGATTCTTGGACACTTCCAAAAGTTTTAAGTAGAAATTCTCAGCTGCTTACATCACGAGAGTATAGCGCATAAGGAAGTTATGACCATGTTTTTTGATACCCTATGTTAGGTTTTATTCTTGGCAATCCCGTTTAACAAAACTCCTTTCAGTTGTAATTTTATTCGATCTTTAATTTCAGTGAGACTATGAGTGTTTAGATGCGAATCCAACCCGAATTGTGCCTTGCAGGGGAGTTTTGTATTGTGAATTCTTTCAGGTTTGCCACTTCACTGACTATGTCGGGGATCGAGCTGCCAGATTAACTTGCAGGGGTCGAGAGGGCATTGCCCAGGCGAGGTCGAGGGGCAGCGCCCCCGAAGCAAAAAGCAAAATTGTAGTTAAAGTTGCTTGACCGATTGAGCGGCCATTCTTGAGCTCGAGCGGAGAATCCTTGGTTCCAGAAGTTTAAGCTGTTTACAAAAGTACTGGAAGTTGTGTTTTTGCGCTCGAGCGGCACTTCTTGCCCTCGAACGTAGATCCGTGTTCTGAAACACGCATTTTAGTCAATCTACTTGAGTGGCCATTCCTGTGCTCGAGCGGAGATCGCGGTTCTGTTTTCTATAAATCTACAGTTTGCTCCGATTTTAGGTTACGGCTTCCAGATTTTCTTCTTGGATATTAAGGTTTATATCTGGAGCTTCTTTGCTAGTTTCTTTGACGTTTGTTTGAGTATTAACTGGTGGTTTGAGAAGTATACATCAAAGGATTGTTTGTTTCATTCAATACAAAAGGGAGAGTTGTTCTTCGGTGGATTCCGTGGAATTCGGGATTGAAACTTTGGTGGATTCTGGAGTGGCTCATCGTCGTGATTCGACATCTGTGTTGTGGATTCAACGTTGGACAAGACATTTCCGAGGTGAAGACAGGGCTGGAAGAGGCACACAAAGGTCAGTTCGATTCGGGCGTGGATTCGCTAGGTAATTGAGAGTACACTTGTGTAATTCTTTTATGTCTTCTTTGTGGATTGTTTTGTGACTTTTGCCCGTGGCTTTTTTTTATCACAATTGAAGTGCCTCCAATTGTGATTTTTCCACGTAATATCGTTGTTTCGATGTGTCTTTGATTGTTTGATTGGGATTGCTATTTACTGGTTAAAATTGATACATAATCACAAATCAATATCTAGGGGATTTCAAGATTTTTCACCCTGCATTTGCATGGCCAAAGGTCACATGTGGTTTTAGCATTTTATGTTTCAGAATTAATCCTGCTATTAGATTGAATGATTTATAATGTAAATGATTTCACATTATTTTATGGCAGTATAACACTGTCAAAATTTATAACAACAATAATCACTGACTACCTTTTCCAAGTTAGGCCACCATTTGGATTAAGATACTGGCACTTTGGCAAAAATCTTCCAATGCCAATAGTGATCCCAACTAAGTTCAACAGAGAATAAAATTTCAGAATAAATTGCTACCAAGTACCAAACACATCACATACATGACCCTCAAATTAATTAATCCATTCACTACGACAAATGTGAATTGAACTACAACTAAACTTTGAAAACATTGACATGCCTGACAAACAAAAGGTGACACTTGTTGGGCTTCCCCATCAAGCCACGTAAATATCAACCGCTTTTCCTTCAGTGCAATAGCCGCTAGCGATGACGGCTGATCTTTATCAACTGTGGACGGTGCTTCTTGGATCCTGTGCATAGTCTTTATCATAGTAATTTACTCCATTTGGTAAACTAGAAGAATATACTAGCATTTGCATACATGAATCTTTCTGTCATATTCAATGTCAAATTTTGAATGAGTACACTTTCTGTGTCATAACTTCGAATGAACATCAGGATCTTTGGCAGGATTCAACAAATAAAGTTCTTTCACACTTAGTGTTTTCTTTCTAACCGCTTTCTCTACTATTTTTTTTTTTAAGTTACCTTTTCTATTCTTTCTTAGGTAGTTGTCTATATTAATTTATGAAAAATTGTCTTCAAAGTTTAGAAACATGAGCTGATATCACTAGACAATGATTTCCCAACAAAGTAGCTAAATCATTTCTAGGAAATAACTACCAAGTAGGGATTTAATTTAACATAACAAGCAGGCCAAACAAACTACTGCATGCATTTTGTTGAGTTCTGGGCTTCATCTTCCTGCTAGAATAACACAGTACCAAATCGCTGCTTCATTTCCAGCACGAGAATAGCCACAGGCATCACAACCCAGCTCCATGGACGTCACACTTCTCAATTGTGGAAGCTCTAAAAATAAGGAACAGAGATTCACAAAATCTTAGAATGTATAATCCGGGTTGTGTTATACATGTATATGTAAATATATCCCAACATGTATGTATTATAGGCATAGGAATATAGACATAGTTATATCTTCATATAACTTCAAAGCTATGTTACATGCACTTGGAAACGGGTATCAGGTGCCTGCATGTGCTGAACTATCAAGTTCATCAAACCTTTTATGTCCAAGGACACCAGAACACAGCTAGATTCATATACTCTCAAGAGGATGTCGCCCATGTTTTACGCTATAAAAACCAAAAAAATAAAAAACAACTCCTATACATCAATATATTCAGATTTCTCAACAAAATTCAAAAAAGGATTCAATGAAGGCTCAACACCCCTCGAGATCCAATTGCAAAAGATGGTTAGAATTTTACTCTTTAAAACAAAAATGGAAGTCTTAAGACTCTTTTCTTTTCTTTTTTTTGATAATAAGCAAACTTTATTGAAAAAGCATCAAGACGATGCAAAGAATATAAAACCAAAAGCAAGCAAAAAACATATACAAGAGTAAAACAAAACAACTACGGAATCAAGTCCTCTACGAAGTCAACAAAAGTTAGCACATCCGGGTCTGCTGATAACGATATCCAGCCATGCAACACAATGAACAAACACTGTTCCAACCATGTCACCAAATGCGTCTCCCCCAAAAAAACTCACCTGTTACGCTCCAACGAAACCAGCCACATCAAACAATGGCCAGCAAGCTTCCATGCCTTTTGACATCTCTTCCCAACCCTTCCCCCAACCTAACTTTGTAACACTGCCATCACTGACCATAGTTGAACCCGAGGAAAACCGAAAATAGCAACAATAAACATCCAAAGACGTGAAGCAACCGAACAACAAACAAGTTAGTGATCCGCCGTCCCCGCATACCCACAGCACATACAACACCAGTTCACTAAAATATGACCACGACGAATCAGATTATCAAAACTTCTTCTATTAAGCTCCCTCCAGACGTTCCCAAAGAATATAAAACCAAAAGCAAGCAAAAAACATATACAAGAGTAAAACAAAACAACTACGGAATCAAGTCCTCTACGAAGTCAACAAAAGTTAGCACATCCGGGTCTGCTGATAACGATATCCAGCCATGCAACACAATGAACAAACACTGTTCCAACCATGTCACCAAATGCGTCTCCCCCAAAAAAACTCACCTGTTACGCTCCAACCAAACCAGCCACATCAAACAATGGCCAGCAAGCTTCCATGCCTTTCGACATCTCTTCCCAACCCTTCCCCCAGCCTAACTTTGTAACACTGCCATCACTGACCATGGTTGAACCCGAGGAAAACCGAAAATAGCAACAATAAACATCCAAAGACGTGAAGCAACCGAACAACAAACAAGTTAGTGATCCACCGTTCCCGCATACCCACAGCACATACAACACCAGTTCACTAAAATATGACCACGACGAATGAGATTATCAAAACTTCTTCTATTAAGCTCCCTCCAGATGTTCCAAAATAAAATGGGAGGTCCTAACCGCCAATCACCTCTTTTTTCTCTTTTCAACTCTAGCTACCCTCCAAGAAAGCGAAAGGTCCCAAACATTTGAAAGGAAGACCCCAACCACATCAAACAAGACTAAAAATAAGGCCCAAATGTCCCAAAAGATGTGATTCCTCTCCCTCTTCACATAATCACTAACAACAACCCATCTATCAATTGCTATCTGTCAAGAGCTAGACAGGCCAGCTTTAACTCCTCTCCACAGCAAAGATGTCACCAAAACACAAACTTCACATGATGGTGAAAAACATACCCAACCTTCCTAATAACATTTCAAAGGCCCACACCGATGCACAAAAACCTCTAAAGACATCCAATCACCCCGCCTACAAATTAAGATCATCTCCCTACTCTCTCTTCGTACTTGCCTACTTGTAATGGTGGAGATGCATCTTAAGATGATCCAATGGTCTAGATCTGGCTTGCTTAATATCTTTATTTTTTAAAATAGCCAGATCTGGACCATTGAATTATATGCATCTCTATTACTGCAAGTAGGGAGATAAGGAGAGAGAGTATGGAGAGAATCTGGACTCCCCGCCTACACTCATATTTTGCCAACATAAACCTTCTCCAAAATCTGTCTCGCTCACACACAAAACTCCATAACCACTTTCCCAAAAGAGCTTGATTGAAGATTTTACGACGTCAAATCCCCAACCACCCACTCAAATAAGGGAGCAAACCATATCAAATCAA